TCAGTCGCTTAAACATAAAACAAAGTGAAGCTCAGAGGCTAACTCATCAATATGAATAACTCTAAAGACACTGGCTGGTCATGGCTTATCTGTGTTGGGTCKTTYRTCTGTAACCTCGTCATCGGAGCCCAGATGAATTGTAGTGGAGTTTTCATGTCAGCTTTCGTCGACARTTACAAAGTGTCAAGAGGAGAAGCAGGTATGGCATAGAGAATAGCAGGTTCAGTGTAAAATGTCATGTAAATATCGAATTAGTTAAAACTTAACCTGCATATAAAGTGAATATATTAAAGTACTCGCACTAAACCCGTGAAACAAATACTAATTTTTAGTACTAAAGAGTGATAATCAAACAATAGGAAACAAAGGATTCTGTATGAATTACTACTAATTAGTACTAAAGATTATTCACGGGTTTAGTGCGTGCACTCTATCGCGATTCACTAAATAGTTTCTTATATTTTTGAGACGACGATATTTTGTGTTATTATAGTTTATAAATTAAGGTTTCTGACTGGCTAACGCGCGACGAAAAGGAAAGCTTGAGCACGCTTGTTTTTTTGCGCCATAGCGAGCGCTCGTAAGGAGAATTTCGCTTTTAATCAACGAAAATCGGCCAGTTTTTTCGTTTTTTTTGCGTCTTAAATTCTTTAGCATCGCGATACAAAACTAATTACGATTTCGAGACGACAATACCACGAAATATTGACAGCGTTGGAAGAAAATATATTCGGTATTGGGCTCCGTCGCTACAATCTCGTACCCAGAACCTGGGTTTCTGTACACACCAAGAGAGTATCAAGTACTTACTTAATATTCTCTTGGTACACACTTATAAGTACATAAGCCTGCTGCATGTATTTATTCTGTTTATTTAATTATTTTACTGAGATAGTATACTGAATAACGTTAATAAGGTGACACGTGCTTGTCCAAATAATTTTTCAAATCAGGATAAAAACGAAAATATAATATTAGCTGCAATTTCTTAATAATCGTAACATTTCCTGGTGTGAAACTGTAAATATGTCCAGCAAAACGTTTCAAATGCAACAAGTAAAGATTTGTGAAGCAAATCCTAAATTCTAGGATATATTCTAAAAGAAATGATTTGAATAACAGTGCTTAAATATTATTCAAACGAAACCAGTGATGAAAAAACATGTCTGAGTTATAAAACGTTCTCGATATTGAACTAGCAGTGAATTTTGATGAATAAATCGTTTAAAAGTAAATAGATTATCAGACGATATCTTTCGCCCAATTTTTAAAAAAATTGATTCTTTTTTAAATGAATATGAAATAAGATTATGTAGAGAATTTTCATAAAACTTTTTCTGTTATTTTGATCGAGTATTTTTTTTTCATGAAATTTGTCGCCAAATACAGACTTGATTAGCATGTTGTTTTTCTCGACTGCTCATTTGCATATGTCAATATTATTTAGCTTAAACAATTAATAATGTACAAGGAGGAGGAGGATTAATCCAGATAGAGAACAGCTATAAACTGTCGACTGTAGGGATGAACGTATATATCATTATCACTGAGAAGGATGTCAAACTGGTGCTGAAGCACGAAATGGCAAAGAAGAAGTATTCAATCGTGAGAGAGGTTGAACAAGTTTCAGCAAGGAATGGTAGTCCGTACCTAATGTGAGAACGCCTCCAGTACAACAGAAAAGGCCAAGAAGCAAGGAGCAAGCAAAACCAAAACTTTTACCGTCTATAAGAGAATCATGGGAAGGAAAGCTCATGCATGGGCAATACTATAAAAGTGTATGAGAATATATATGAAATATATATTTGTACTGCAGTTGTAATGTATCAAATTGAGCTGAATCAGCGGGATCTATAAAAGGCTAAGTAAAGCACAGGCAGCCCAAGCGTATACATTGTACTTATTTACTTCATAAATCTTCATTTTCGTTCATTGAATTGTAATAGAATCCACTGAAACTTCTACAGCGTGTTTTGGTTGTTCTTGGCTTCACTCTGAGCGAATTTCGTTTAATCTAACTGCACTTTCCTCAGAGTGAAGCCAAGAACAACCAAAACACGCTGTAGAAGTTTCAGTGGATTTGATTAAAACTCAATGAACGAAAATGAAGATTTATGAATTCCCATATATTGTATAGTAAATCAGTACAATGTATACGCTTGGACTACCTGTGATTAAAACACACACTGACAGAAGCAGGACCAATCAGTGACTGGACTTAAATGTAGCGAACTCAAAGCCGAAACAGAGGGGTTCATAATCGCTGCTCACGATCAAAGTCTACCCTAAAGACTATATTACAACCAAATGATCAAGGATGACACAGATCCGAAATGCAGACTCTGTAATACCTCAGCTGAATCAGTGGACCAGTTAACATCTGGGTGCCCTGTCTTGGCAAGAAAAGAGTACGTTGAAAAACACGATGAGGCAGCAGGAAAGATAGACATTCTGCACATATCTTACGTAAAGCTTTGTCATTGTAGATTTTTTAGAGAAGTTAGAATACCTAAGGTTTATGGTTTAACTGTAAACGGTCAGATTATATCAACTTTATTGAAAAGTCAAGAATAAAATAATAATAATAATAATAATTAATAATAATAATTAACAATAATTAATGAATTATTAATTATTAACGGTCAGATGTTTCAACTTTATTTTTTATTTTCATTCTATTATTATCATTGACAATTATTAGTGATTATCGGTGGAATATTTGCCGAACCGCAAGTCTTCTTCTATTCCTTATCATAARTCATATTTTTTTCTTTATTTCTACTTCAGCTTGGGTTGCTGTTCTCGCCTCGTCGGCCGCTTACTTCTTTGCTCCACTTAGTACCTCACTCTGCAATCGGATTGGTAGCAGAATGACAGTTGCCATGGGAACCATCATCTGTATGGTAGCTATGGTGTCATCGTCTTTTCATTCAAGTTTCAAAGCTCTGTACTTTACTTTCGGGATTTTGTGGGGCCTTGGGGCCAGCCTGTCTTACTATCCAAACTTTGTCATKTTATCGMAATATTTCGAMAAGARAATCKCACTGGCAAATGGTATTTCGACCTCTGGGTCATCAATCGGTACGATTGCATTGTCGCCTTTGATCCAGTATGCGTTTAAACAATTTGGACTGAGTAACGGTTTTCGCATCCTTGCTTGTTTTCACATTCTGTTGWTCATCCCAGTGTGTTTATATCGACCTCGCGAAGCAGACAAAACTGCAAAAATATCGAGAACTTCAAAAACGTGTAGCGACGAAGATGTACTGAAAAACACCAAGTATTGGATTTGGGTCGTTGCAATGATTTTCTTTCAACTGAATTACATGGTTCCCCTTGTTCATGTGGTAGGTTTGACGATACTAATAGTAATACATCAAGAGAATATTTAATATTCTCTTGTAATACATCAAGCAGATCAAACCAAGTAGACCCTCTTACTACGTTGGGTGTAATGCTTTTCCATTTCAGACCACTTGTCTACCACGTGCGCGTGTCATTTCCTTGATAATGATGTTCTTTAATCGAGTTGTATCCCTAACCCTTCATAGTCTCTTGTGTCTTTTCATTGTGCAACCGTGAAACAAAGAAATGATACTCTTGGAAATAGCACGTAGTCTGAACCATGAAAAAAAAAACCATTACTCTTAAGATAAAAAGGTCTAATGTCCGTTTTCTCAAGGTTGCGTGCGCAGCCAAATTTAATAAGGAGCTTGACGGGCCACGATGCCAGAACGGGAACTTTATAACGAGAATTAACACACATTTCTATGAAATTTTTCGATAAGAATGCATCAAATCGATTATTTTTCTTTAAATATAAAACTGGCTTCTCAATTTTACTGAATTTTCTGTTTTTCAATTGTGTGGCCCGAGAAGTTGGATGCGCACACAACCTTGAGAAAACGGTTCATTGGTGCTAATAATTGAACAAAAGAAAGTGTGCAAGGGATTTAGCAACGCACCTTTATACTATCATTTGCATTCACGGAAAGCTGCACAATGTATTGCCCATATTGCAGCTGCATTTAAACAAACTGGATGCTCTCAAAATACCAAAACTAAGCTGGACAGAAAGAGGTGTTCAGGAATGTCTCTCGCGCTCTGTTGTTAATAGACCCCTTCACAGTTCCCTGCGCCATCTTGAAAGGTAGCCGTGCCTCTGCATCGAAGCGAGACGAACGGTGAGTTTGCTATGATGGAGACGTGAATAATTGTCCAAGGTGTTAAAAAAGGTCTCTATCATTGCAAGCTCACCGTTCGTCTCGCTTCGATGCGAAGGCAAGGCTACCTTTCAAGATGGTGCCGGGAACTGTGAAGGGGACTATTCGTAGGTTTCAGACGTAAGCTGTGAAATATTTATTCCATTCATGTTTTAGGTCCGTCTAGGAGAAGATATTGGTGCAAGCAAGATCACTGCTTCACTACTTATCAGCATCATGGCCGGGGGTTCATTAATAGGACGCGTAGCATTTGGTCGCGTGGCTGACCTGAAATGTTTAAGCCGGATAAACATTATGCAAWTCGCTCTTCTCTGCATCGCGGTTTCTACTACACTTGCACCATTCTCACCATCATTCATTTGGCTTGCCCTCTACGGCGCTGTATTTGGACTCAATGAGGGAATATACATAATGCTTTTCATGGTAATAACTAAAGATATCGTGGGTGCTGACCATCTGGCCTTCGCTTTTGGCATTCTCTATTCGATTTTGTTCGTCCCAAAAACCGTGGGACCACTTTTCGCGGGCTTCATGTTCGATAGCTATCAAAGTTACGTTCTCCCTTTCATGGTAATGGGAGGTGTAACAGCTCTTGCGGCGATCTTGTTGTTTCTTATTCCCGCCAAAACATCAAAGGAAACAAACGTAGATGATGAGCCAGAGACTGAAATCATAGTATGCCGGGAAACGAGTGTGTGACACGGTTCAGTATACATTGGTGACAAAATGAATATTTTTGTGCATATTTTTTTAATACTAAAAGGGGCGACTCTGGGGTAAGGGGTTTGTTGGTTTATACGAATCTTTTAAACGAACCCTTAAAAAAATAACTCGTAAAAAGCCTAAATGAAAGGTCCAGGCCAATGCAACCGTTGTTGGCAAATCCTGAGTTTCACATGACGTCATTTCCGGTCTGGTGCGGAATGTTCAACAGATGAAAACTTTAGAGCGAAAACAGAGGCTTTTGAAAACCCTGACGTCATTCACACTGGCACGTCTGTATCTCGCATGCGCAGATAATGACATTACTGCATCATTTTCGATCGTATCTGCGTTTTTGAAAACGCTATAGAAGCACTAGTATGGACAGTACGTGAAGCTTTCGATGCGTTTTCGGCGAGATGAAAACGGAACGTTTCGAAAAAGCATTAGTGTGGAGGTTATTTGGTAACTGATTGGAACACAGCGATATTAGTCATTCCGAGGTTATTGGAAAAACTGGGTCGAGTTGACATTGCAGTGCATTGTGGGGCTGTAGAGGTTATTTGGTAACTGATTGGAACACAGCGATATTAGTCATTCCGAGGTTGTTGGAAAAACTGGGTCGAGTTGACATTGCAGTGCATTGTGGGGCTGTTTAAGGACATATTTCCATGATGGCTTTTACTTCGGCAAAGCAACGCAATGTAATAACAATTCAACCCAGTTTTTTTTCGAACTCGGAATGGCTGACTCCGCGAGATTATATTCTCATCCAATAAATTATCCTACTGGTCAGCGGGATGTGCAATGTGTGAGAATACTTCCTTGATTTATTGTTTTGTCACAAGTCGAGTGGCTTGTGGCAGTATTTTGGACTCACGAAAGTATACTAGCTTATATTTTTGTATTCTTGGAGAAAACGAACATTTGTTTTCTCACTAAAACTCTATAAAATTCTTAGAAAACGTGCTGAAAGGCACGCATATGCAGATATTTTTTCTCTAACGTTTCACAGCCTTGAACTGCGTAGTCGATTCCCGACTGAACTTAAGAGAGTTGAGTTTGTTTGATATGGCCGTTAAACAAACCGCAACCGTTACACAAAGAAACCATAAATTAGTGAATGCCACTGGCGAGCCAATGATAAAGCATTATTCATCACACAATAATGTAAACAAAGTTTCCTTGACATTTTATTTATAAAGATTTCATTTACAAAAACCACTTGCGCTTACTTCAAAATAATTCTACAAGCTTAACCAGACGGGATATTTCCTTTTCGGGGGATTCCGAACCAAGAAACATGATTGAACCTCTATTACGCGGTCACCTATTTAACAGCCAACCTCAAGTTATCGACCACCAGATAATATCCCAAGAGTGGTCGCTTTACGGAGGCTTCTTAGGTTTCCATTTCCATTATTCAACATACACTGATTGCGGTCCACTAAAACGCTATTTTTTTTCGACAGCAAATTGTACGATTTCTTGCGTGTAATTAGAAAGTCTGTTCTACATCTTTGATGTTTTTTGTTCAAAATATTTGTTGAAAAGCAAAAATACAGTTAGGAACTTTCGTTTGTGGAACTGACTGGGGGGATGCGATCAAGAGTTAGGTCATCGCCCGTCCCCCTAGGTCAGCCCCACATACACAACCAGAGGTTTGGTTAAGCATAGCAGAATATTCGGAATCTGGAAGAGGAAACTGAGGACTTTCGAAATTCGACATTCCCCATCCTTTAATATTATTGGCCAGACAAGATCTAACTGTTAACGTCATGAAGTGGAATGAAACCGATGGAACTATTCTCTAGTAATATCTATTTTAGGGGGTTATATATCAAAACACCCCCTGTGTACCGGCACTTAACGTCACCGGCCTAACTATTTATCTAAGGAAAGGTACGGCTTTTATTTGGGGGGGGGGGGGGGGGGTACTGTTGGATGAGTGATTCGCAGTAAGCTTTTTAAAAATAAGTGTAGCCCTCCTGCAAGAGAATGCCTTGTCAAAGTAAAAATGTTTGACCCTTCAAAACTTTGAAATTTCTACTGATGGTCTTCCCCTCTGGATTCCCAGCCTTCCCCTTGATAAAAAACGTACCATTCCTAACAACCCACTTTATTTGTACTTTTCTATCTAACTATACATTGGCTGATACATCAGCTTTCCTAGTAATTTTCAGAAGCTAGAAAAGAAAAACTATTTCCTATAAAG